CGCTCCCCCCGTCGCTGATGGGCTCGGCCTTGGCCAGCGGCGGGTCCATCTTGGAGCCAGCGGCATTGGCTCTATGGGACATGGGGGAAGCTTCTAGCAGCTTCTCACAGAAGCCCCCCACTACCAAAACCCTGCCACGCAAACCCAATACACCCCCCATCCTGTCGGTGCATGTGAGTCTGGGCAGAGCTTGGCCCTGGTGTACCCTGAGAGCCATGTCCCCCAAGAGTGATGTCCCCTGTCGCCTCCAGCGATGCTGAGACCAGGAGAGGTGCAGGAAGGCTCCGTTGGGCACAGGACTCTAGCATCTTCTGGAAGCAGCAGCAAATTCCCCTCTTCCTTCCTTTCCAGAGGATGTCCTCTGACAATGGTGGCCCGATGCCACCGTGATGGGTTCCCTGTACCCGAGCAGTATCCTCATGCCTGTCCCCTGTCCCCATGTGTCTTTTCTCCCCTGTGGCTCTCCATGACCCGCTCCGGGGCCGGTGCTCTAACCTATCTCTTGAGCTGTGCCTCACTAATGTCTCTGTCTGATCTTTTTCTCTCAAACCTGTGTCCCAACGGGATCGTTAAGATTCGGATTAACCGAGAAGTAAGTAGACGGTTCCCCTCTCCTTCTCTCTGCTCCCATCTCCTCCCAGGTGTCGTACTGGGCAGCATGGCGTTAAATAGCGTCTGGGAGAGGCAGGCTGGGAAAATGTGTGGACAAACTTGGGTGTGGTCCAGGAAAGGGGGAAGCGAGGTCTCCGTGGCACGTCCTCCCTGGGGTGATGGAGAGCAGGGTCTGTGTGCTCCGAGGAGGGATTGAATTCAACCCACAAAAATCCCCTGTGAAAGGATCCGTGGTGGATGGAGAAGCTGCCATCACCTCCACGCATGTGACGTGGTTGAACTCTGCTGGACACATGGCCAAGGTGTGGGACACCAGGTCACCGGTCCCTTTGGCAGTGGCCTTGCTGGGATGTGCTCTTTGGGCTGGCATGTCCCTGTTAAGAGTTGGGAATGGTCCCAGTAAGTGGCTGGGATGAAGGAGGGGAGCGGGGCCGTTGCTCAGTGCCATGTGGCTGCTGCGGGATGGGATGTCATTAACAGGGCTCTCGTGACGGCATTGCCGTGCTCGGCAGCAATGGCAGCGGCACAGGAGCCGGGGTAGAGCCGGCAGACCCCGGGATGCCTGCGGGGTGCTGCTGGGGATTTTGGTGCAGAACAGGGATGAGGATTGGGCATTACATGAGCCCTTCATGGGACATGCACCCTCCCAGGACAGGGTGCACCGGGTGCAGGATGGCTGCTGAGCCTCCTCCTCCTCCTCTTGCAGTGGGGGGTAGCACCGCACCGGTGGCCAGGACCTGGCCCAGTGGACGTGGGGCGTTGCCACCACTTGGGTGACTGGGAAATGTTTTACGGGGCTGTGCCCCAGCTCTCGAGTGTCCCAGTGTCCTCCCCAACTTGGGACTGACGTCTCTGCTTCCCTTGCAGGGCTACCACAGGTCCAACCACTTCATAGCCACACAAGGTGAGCCGCCACCTCCTCCCCCTGCCCTCTCGGTCAGTGGTTCAGCA